ATTACTTAAAAGATGAGCCACGGAAGACAGACGAGCCATTTTACTGTACAAATACAGCTATTTATTCAGCAGGAAACAAATAATCTACTTAAAGAAGAAAAGCGTTGAGAAATGGATATCAATGAACAACTCTCTCTGAACATGAAGAATTATCAGCTCAGTGTTCAGATAAGCTAGAGAAGGATCAAAAGCAATATCATTTGATTATGAAATAATAATACTGAGCACTTACTGTGTGCAAACCACTGTGCTAAGAGCTTTGCATAAATTTGTCTTATTCCATCCTCACCACACCCCTATGGGTTTGGAAAAACAAACAAACAAACTCATTTCTATTTAATCTTAAGAAAGACTAAGGCCCTAAGAAGTTAAGTAACTTGCTTCAGGCTATAGACCTGATACACTACAGAGGAGGAATTCAGATCCACTGCAGACTAATCCAAAATCTATGGTCTGAAGCAGGAGTGGACACTGAGTCCTAGATTAAATGACACATGCTCTGGGCAGTGATCATGACACCACCATTGCCACTATCAGTGGAGATGCAAGCTACTCCAGGAAACACATTTAAATCTCCCTGGTCCTCAGTTACACAATGAAGGTAAGTCATCTTCAAAAATCTTCCACCTCCAAAATCCAATTTGAACCAAAAATTCCTAAAAGTCAGCTATATAGAGTTTCATTTAGTCTTCCTGACATCCCTGAGGCTTGGAGAAGTGGCTTTCTCAGGGATACACAGCTAGGACAAAAAGGGATGAGATTCAAATTCTAATCTTTAGAAGCCACATGTGGGGCAGTCACCATTAAACCATTGCTGAATTCATAACCTCTGATCAATGAGACAGTGTATAGGTAGACCACCACCTGTCTGTCAGTTTGTCGTACTGTGGTAGCTTGCGTGTTGCTATGATGCTGGAAGCTATGCCGTCGGTATTTCAAACACCAGTAGGGTCACTCATAGTGGACAGGTTTCAGCAGAGCTTAGAGACTAAGACCGACTAGGAAGAAAGGTCTGGCAACATACTTTTGAAAATTAGCCAATAAGAACCTTATGGATCACAACAAAACTCTGTCTAACTTGCTCAATTTGGACATGTCTTCAAGAGGAATCAGTTCGCTGGAGAAGGACATCATGTTTGGTGAAGCAGAGGGCCAGCAAGGGTGAGGGATACCACTGGTGACATGGATTGGCACAACAGCCACAGTGATAGACTGGAACATGCTGGTGACCATGATCATGCAGGACCAGGCTATGTTTTGTGCTGTTGCACATAAGGTCATCATGACTTGGAGTCAACTCAACGGCAGCTACCGATCTATCCATCTGTCCATCTAGACATGTAAACATAAAAACATCCAGGTTACAAACTCAACTTCAATGCACCAGCTATTAAAACAGGTTTGTCAAACGAGTTCTTTTCTCTCAATAAAAAACAAAGTTAAAAACTCGGACTTAGCAGTTAGATTTGAAAAGAGGGGCTACAGTGCCCATACCATGATGCAAGCCTAGCTCATGTCCCCAGCATCCCTGGCACCAATGGCCATGGGGAGACTCGCTACTCTGCTACCCACCTGCACAAAGCAACCTGGTCCCACACCATCCTGACGGGGTAAAAAGAAACTAAACAGGGCTGGGCTTGGCTACCTAAACGCTGCTAAGGAAATCCAATCAACCTTATTAACCTTCGACTTAACTCACTTAGGGTTTTGTGATACTTCAAATGGAGCCAAGCCCTATCCGGATTACAAAGGATTTGATGAGAAAATTCAGATTAAAAGGGGACATTGAACCAACCTTGAAAGACAAGTCATTTAGCCTTTTAAAGCATCTATTTAACTATAAACAATGAGATAATTACGAATCATTCACCTCTATTCATTACGGCAATTTTAAAAATGTGTAATCTTACTTTTCCTTTATTTTGAGAGGAATTTTCCCCAATTTGCCTCAAACATAAGGTTCTACATACATACAGGCAGCCTCACCCACAAGCAATTTACCCTTCAGGTCATTCCAAGTGGTCAGCCTCGGTCCATAATTTTGTGTTTTCTTAGGGAGAAAGAAAAAGCACCAGAGGAGAAGAGAGAGAAAGAAGAGACTCAGCCAGAGCTGAGGTTGACATCTATTCTCCACCTAAGGTACTATGCTAAGTGTTGTAAGGGATAAAGAGATAAACAAGACACAGTACCTACTCTCAAAGTATCCATGACATAGGTAATATTTTGCTATTTGAAGTGACTATGGAGTCCCCGGGTAGTGCAACTGGTTAATGGACTCAGCTGCTAACTGAAAGGTTGGAGGTTCAAGTTCATGAAGGTGGAATGCAGAAGAAAGGCCTGGTGGTCTACTTCCAAAAAATCAGTCATTGAAAACTCTATGGAGCACAGTTCTACTCTGACACATATGGTGTCACCATGAGTCAGAACTGATTCAATGACAACTGGTTTTTACTGGTTAAGTGACGATGGAGCCATACGGAGGTGAATCTATGTTCTTGAGGGATATGGTGCACTGCACATGTCATTTACATACTGCTGAACCGTCCTTCGTGAACAACCCCGGCCCCCAAGTATAAAGCTGTTTCTACGGAACATGCTCTGCCAAGCCCCACTTCCTAACGAGCAGTTGCCTATACAGGTAAAACTTAATGCACAACCAGAACTAGCATAAATTTTATAATCAGCTTATTTTAAAATGCTGGCAAAATCACATGGCAGTAGGCAATCAGTCATAAGCAGAAAAGTTGACTTGTTGCTACAGCATATGAACAAAGTTCCATGATGCCAGTGGTCAGTGTTTTTCAAACTGCATGAGGATATACTGTGTGGGTAATGAGATCAATTTAGTGACCAGCACATGCTTAGTAAGAACTTAGAATTTACACATTACAACATAATACTTTAGGTTCAATGTGTGTGTGTATGTGTGTGTGTGTGTGTGTAGAGAAAAATGTACTTCTTCTGGGGGTCACGGTTCAAAAAGCTTGGAAAACACTGTCTTAGGAATGGTAGTAAATTCAATTTTGGTTAACAGCAGCAAAAGGGAGCAGCAATAAGGACCATGACCCAAGGAAAGCCAAACAAGAATGAATAAAAATAACTACTTCTTTTGAAGAGGTTGACCATACAATTTATAATCTCGACCCCAACTCTCGGTGATTCTTGGCTTGAAGTAATCCAACTTATCTGAGCAAACAACTGCAAAACACCTGAAAACTCCAAATGCAGGTGTCTGGAAGGCACACACTGAAAAAATAAATAACACCAAGTTTTGAAAGACAGGAAGCCACATTCCCAAACCATGAAGACATCACTATAGTAAAAATGTCTATGTTACTAAGCTAAAGGGGCTGGCCAAGTAGACAATGCACACTGCAAAGCATGAAGGTGGCCCCTGGGACACGACAGGCAATGACTTAGCATGGGAAAATAACATAGAATCATTTTTTTTAAGGACTAACAAATTCACTCAAACTATCTTTTTAATCTACTAAATGTTTATATTTAGGTAATTAAATTGAAAATTTTTAAGATATCTGAAGAGTCAACAAAAAACCAGTTGCTGTCAAGTTTGCACCAACTCTTGGAAACCCCCTGTGTTACAGAGTAGAACTGTGCTCCACAGAGTTTTCAATGGCTGATTTTTCAGAAGTAGATTGCCAGGCCTTTCTTCCAAAGCACCTCTAGGTGGATCTCCAACCTCCAACTTTCTGGTCAACAGACAGCGCTGGTTAAGTGTTTGTACCACCCAGGAATCACAAAGCCTCAACAAAGGGGCATTAAAACATTTATATTATATCTTTTCTAGTCTCATTATGTATCTCTATGACAAATAACAGATTAATTTCCTGTTTACTGATTCATTCATCTGGAAAAAATTAGTTGTGCACCTACTATTGGGTAATACCAGTTCTAAGGTGATGTAAGAGAAATTGGTTTTATCTGATTTCTTTTTAACTTACATAATCAAAAGCCTAGAAACATGGGATAAACATATGTTTCTAAAGTAAAATTATCCCAAATGGCCAAAGCTTCCTATCAGGACAGTGTAACAGTTCTTCCACAATGTTATTTAGTTAAAAATATTACACAGTGGTTAGCTTTGGGGTTTTATGCACCACAGACTGTATCTTAGTTATTTAGTGCTGCTATAACAGAAATGGAGCCCTGGTGGTGCAGTGGTTAAGAGCTTGGCTGCTAACCAAAAGGATAGCAGTTCAAATCCACCAGCTGCTCCTTGGAAACCCAACGGGGTAGTTCTGTTCTGTCCTATAGGGTCACTATGAGTTGGTATCGACTCGAGAGCAACAAGTTTGGTTTGGTTTTTGGTTTTATAACAGAAATACCACAAGTGGACGGCTTTTACAAACAGAAATTTATTCTCTCACAGTCTAGGAGGCTAGAAGTCCTAATTCAGGGTGACAACTCCAGGGGAAGGCTTTCTCTGTCAGCTCTAGGGGAAGGTCCTTCTCATCAATCTTCCCTTGGGTCTAGGAGTTTCTCAGTGCAGGGACTCTGGGTCCAAAGAACGTACTCTTCTCCAGGCTTTTCTTTCTTGGTGGTAGGAGGTCCCTCTCTTCTCTGCTCACTTCTCTCTTTTATATCTCAAAAGAGACTGACTCAAGATACAACATAATCCTGTAGACTGTGTCCTGCCTCATTAACATAACTGCCTCTAACCCTGCCTCATTAACATCATAACCCCATTGCCAAGATTCCGATCCATAGCGGCCCTATAGGACAGAGCAGAACTGTCCTATAGGGTTTCCAAGGAGTGGCAGGTGGATTCAAACTGCTGACCTTTTGGTTAGCAGCCAGTTTCTTAACCACTGCCCCACCAGGGCTCCATGAACATCACAGAGGTTAGGATTTACAACACATAGGACAATCACATCAGATCACAAACTGGTGGACAACCACACAATACTGGGAATCATGGCCTAGCCAAGCTGACACACATTTTGGGGAGGGACACAATTCAATCCGTAACAGAGTGTTACCTGTAGTTCCGGAAAAGAGCAACCTTGCAAGTGTCCTGTGGAAGCTGAAGCCCAGCATCTGCAGCAGCATTTATTTCCCTTACAGAAAGTCCATCCAGGAAGTTCTGACCCGTTAATTCATTGTCTAACCAAACAGCCTCACGAAACCATTTCCTCAAAACATAGAACAGGGGTGTTTTGTTTTCATCCTTTTTATTTATTTTTTAAGTGGTGGAAACTACAAAAGAGAAAAGTTAAAGGGAGTGTAGAAACGTGGGCAACCTTTCCCCTCGGAATTTTGGAAACTGAATTCTTTCAGCCTGTAGAATTTTATCCTGAAATTGGATTTTTTTTCTTGAGCCTGTAGAATATCATCCACTCAAATGCAAGAGCTTGTATAAATCGGCAACAGTTTCTTCGCCCCAGACAGGCAAGTTCCCGCCCTGCCTATTTTTACACTGACTGTACACTCAACAGGGGCACCCCGGCTGAAAGCAGGCCAGAGGAAACCACCCCAGTGCTGCTCAAAGAGGCTGGTTTTTGCACTCAAAGAAATAGTGTTGTTTCTAGAAGTTTCGGAGGAAAGAATACACTAAACACTGCTTACTTTGAAAATGCCTCAGACACCGTGGAGTTCAAACTGTATTGTCATTTTGATAGATTCTGGACCAACACACCAATACACATCCACATTTATAATGACAACTATAAAATGGTACTGACAACAGTTTCTCCAGCACTGCTGGTAACATGGTTTACAATCCAACTATGCTCTGAGAAATCGGGGGGGATTAAAAGAGAGAGGTTTCTGTATGTTATTTGCTCACTGCCATCGAGTTGATTCCAACTCACAGTGACCCTATAGGACAGAGCAGAACTGCCCCAAAGGGCTTCCAAGGCTGTAATCTTCACAGAAGCAGGCTGCCATATCTTTCTCCCATGGAAGCTGGTGGGTTCGAACTGCCAACCTTTTGATTAGCTGCAGAGCTCTTAACCAACTACACCACCAAAGCCCCTCACATATTAGCAGGCTTGGTAATTTTCCTAGCCCTACTAAGAAATATAGTAATAAATAAACAAATACAGTGATAAAGTTTATTCAAGTATGAGGTCCCTGGATGGTGCAAACTGTTTGTGCTCAGCTGCCAACTGAAAAGTTGGTGGTTCAAAACCATCCAGCAGTACCACAGAAGAAAAGGCCTGGCAATCTGTTTCCGTAAAGATCAACACCAAGAAAACCCTATGGACCAGCTCTGCTGTGTCACAGGGGATTGCCACAAGTCGGAATCAACTCAACTGCAAGTCAAAACGGCAAAAGACAACAACATTCAAGACTATTAATGGTGACCCTTTTAAAAGTCCATCTGAAAATGAAAGTGTCCTGACATAAACGTATACCGTGCACAAGTCACTGTTGGTTGGGGGCAGTGGAAGTACTCCCCCCTCCCCAAATCCATCAAGCTATGGACCTTTCAGCCTTGCCGACCACCACCACATCTGTGTGGCTCTGATGCACTCACAAGCTGCTTGTCTCCCCAGGACGGGCTTTCCCAGAGTCTCCGGAAGGCACTTCCTCAAAATCATTCCTTTTGTCTATTCACGTTATTTAAAGTCTCCTCAGAATGCAGCTTCAAGCTAGACTCCACTGGCATTCTTTCACACTCTGACAAAGAATCTCTGTTCCAAGATCTGTATTTCATTTCCATATATTTGCTTAAGATAAAGTTCAAGATGAAAAAATGCCCAATTTTTTCCTACTTGTTATTCATGCCAACCTCGAGTGTCTTGCATTATGAAAATTAAAACATGCAAAAGACATAATGCAAGTGTATTCATTAGGATCCCAGTACTCAGGGCTGCAGGGAAAGCTCAAAATTCATCAGCCCGACACTTGTCAGATGGACGAGACAAGACTCAAGACGATTTTTGAGGAAGCCATTTTTTATTATGTCTCAACAACCTCCCCCATCGCAACCATTCTGTCCTCTACTCCACCTCCTTTACCGTCATGTACCAAAAAGGGGAAGTGCTGCCCTCAAAAACTTCTGCTTTTTCTATAAGCCTGAAAACTGGTTACTTTTTCTTACAAAAACGAAAAGTCACTTTGACTTAACTAAAAAAGTTTTTAAGCATTAATTAAAGTAACGATTTACTAAGTTTCATTTCAAAGTTGTCTGCCATCCTTCATTACGTCACCTTTAACATCCCTTTCCCATGTATAATATTATTAAAAAAAAATGTCCAACAGTGCTTTGGAATTCGGATGGCTGGTTTTCCTCTCTGCCAGCCTGCAGTGAAAGTCTGTGTCTGGGCCAACTAGAATGTGCCTCTCAGGCCTTTCCTGTTCTTTCTGTTTCCTGTCAATTCCTGTCAGGTGCAAACGCTACAGAAATGTAGAATTATGACATAGGAACTCACACTGAGTCATAGCTGGAACCCATCTTCTCTTCTGAGTTCACAATTAAAAACAAACAAAATCTAAAATTACATTTAAAACAAAAAGATAAGTGGAAGTCTATGATGCAGATGTTGCCTCAGCACCAGCTGGATCTGCTCAAGGGGAACAGATGGCAGTAATGAACCAAGGGAAGCAACAAAGGTTAGTTCACATCCATCACAAGTCCTCATGAAAATGCTGACATGGATGTAAAACTGCACCGCAGGTGCTTTCCTACCCATTCTGAATCTGCAAGCTGGAAAGAAACAACCTGGAAAAGAGTCCAAAAATGTCACCAAGACGCAGAGCAGGCCTGCCACATTAGTGGTGAGGAAGGCAGCGTCTTCTGTAGTGAGGGCAGTTTAAAAATTCAGAAGGGCGGGAGAAGAGGCTGATGGAGACTGGCAGCAGCATACGGATCTACAAGGGGAAAACCTGGAATTGATGAGCCCCATCTCAGGACCTCACCATCGAAAGGACAGACACCTGAAGCGCGTGCCATGCAGAGCGGTGCACTAAGGGGGCACACTGCAAACACACAGGCTCAGCCACCGCTTTATTAGGCAACCACTCTTCAACCCTCAGAACAAATGTATTCAGAGCATCACCTCACTTATCTTAAAAAAACAAAAAACAGTTGTTGTCAAGTCAACCCTGACTCATGGCGACCCCATGTGTATAAGAGTAGAACTGCGTTCCGTACAGTTTTCAAAGGCTGATTTGGGGGAACTAGATTGCCAGGACTTTCTTCCAAGGTGCCTCTGGGTGGACTCGAACCTCCAACTTTTCAGTTGGCAGCCCAGCACACTGACCATTCGCACCACCTGGGGACTCCTTCACTTATCTTAGATTATGGTTTATTCAAATCACAGTGATGTTCTACTAAAGTCACTTTGATTTCTAACAGCTCTAAAACTCAGGCATTGTATGGGGTTTTTACTCTGCATTGGTATTCTCCAGCATGACCTAATTAGCTACCAAATATGCATCTCAGAAATGTCTGAAGAATAGCATGCTCCAGTTAACTAACTCTGTCTAGTCAATTCAGGCCTCAGGAAGGGGGGGAAAAACTCCTAAGGAAAAATTTTTTTTTTTTCACCTCTTGTTGCAAAATATTTGAAAACACACTAATACTTAATACACTGTAAAAAACGGCATGATGACGTTCTCAGACCTCGTCTAACTTCACAAAGGGGAGGAGAGAGAATCAAGATTATCAGCCCAAGGCTGATGCCTGTGGGGTGCAGGTCAAACACACCTCCTCCTCCACCCTCCAAGCTTTTTACTAATTCTGACACCAGCCATCCCTCCCACAGCACTATAGACTTCTCTGCTGATTCAATAATTCATTGCAGTGGCCACACAAAACTAAAAGACTATACTCACAATCATGAGGTTTATTAGGGAAGTAACAGGTTACAATTCAGGATCAGGAACAACTCAGGATACAGCTTCTCAGCTGTGCCTGTAGGCAGGCCTCTCCCTCAGCCTCTCTGCCTGGCCTCTGCCTTGCTTGGGCAAGTGTTACAGCTTTTTAGCTCCATCAACAAGCACTCAGAGGCACCCCACTCCACCAGTAAGCTTCAGCCCCAAGGCGTTCAGCTCTTTCCTTCCATGGGTCAGCACACCCACTGTAGCTGCCTTGCTCCGTGGGGCCGGGAAACCCACCGTGCTGTCTCTCGCCAGCTCCTGGTTCTGCTGCTGCTGCTTTTCTGCTTCCTGACTCTGCTGTGCTTGCGGTCTCATGCCGTCTCTGGTGTTACAGCTCTCTCTGTCTCCCAGGTCTAGGAGGTTCTGAGCACAGGGACCATGGGTTCAAAGGATGTGCTTCGCTCCTTGCTCTTCTTCTTAATGGTACTGAGGTCCCCTCTCTGCTTCTGAGATTAGATCTCTTTAAGACTAGCATGATGGTAAAACTGTCCGATCCCATTGTTAGCATCCCATACACCTTATCTGCATGGTCCCATCCCCTCAAGTGTTCCATGCACCTTATTTGCATTATTAGCAGGTTGTCCAATCCCCTTGGTGGACCACAAGCATCTTATTTGCATAGTCCCACCCAATCATTTTGTGGGAGGCACAAGACCATGGCCAGAAAGGCCATATGAAAGTAGTTCACTACACCACATACATTTTTGCTTTTAACAAATGTGTTGTTGTTATTGGGTGCAAGTTGATTTGACTCATAGCAACCCCAAGTGACAAAGTAGAACTATCCCATAGGGTTTTCTAGGCTGCCAGATCTTTCGCCCACAAAGCCGTTGCACGGGTTCAAACGGCCAACCTTTCGATTAGCAGCCAAGTGCTTAACCATTGTGCCACCAGGGCTCCTTATTTAAGTACTAAATGTTGCTTGATTTTTTTTTTTTTTTATGACTTGAAGCCTAAACTTGCTGAGCGTTTTAGGAGAGCTATAAATACAGGGTTAGGAATCCAGAGGAGGGTGGTATTACTTCCAATTTGGAGGGAACAGGAAAGGCTGCACTGGGGCACAGACTGGGTTTGAAAGGACCAGGAAGATTTCAGCAAGTGGAGTTTAGGGTTGTGGGGGGAGTGGGAAGTACAGGTAATGAGGGAGATTGAGGTAGAAAACCCACAAGCTTATGGGCGCAGTAAGTCCGAAACATGGTGGGCATGGCAGGTGGTCTACATTCTCGTATCAATGGGAACACGAAGGGAAGTATGAGTCTAGAAATGTAGGGCAGGACCAGATCTCAGAGAGTGTCACATGACAAATTCAGGAGTTTGAATTTTAGCCCACAAGCAATAGGGGATCACGATTGATTTAGCTCAAGAAACAATGACTGAGAAGAGGAATGATATGATCAGATTAGTGGTTTACAATGAGAAAACCAGCAGAAATATAGATGAAGTGAGTAATGCTAAGCATCATTTATAGTATACCTGGCTAAGAGCTTAACATACTTTACCAATTTAATCTCATTTTATAGATGAGAAACTGAGAGACTGAGGGGGATTACATACATTATCCAGATCAGCATGACTCCAAAGTCCTACAGTGACTGACATAGAGAAACAGTAAAAACTTCCATATCCGCATGTATTCGATTCCAAAGGCTGCTGCAACAAAGTACCACAAAGTGAGTGGCTTAGAAAGAAATTTATTGCCTCACTGTTCTGGAGGCTAGAAATCTAAATTCAAGGTGTCAGCAGGTCCATGGCTCTCTGGAAGTCTCTAGGAAAGATCCTTTCTCTCCCAGCTTCTGGTAGCCTCAGGCGTTCCTTGGCTTACAGCTGCAGCCTAACTCCATCTCATCCTCCATCTTCACATGGCCTCTTTCCCTCTGTGTCTCTTCTCTTTTAGAAGGACACCATGCAGGATGTATTAGAACCCACCCTACTCCAGTATGATCCAAGGTTAACTGATAACATTATCCAGGACCCTATTTCCACCATTGCATTATAAATGTAGAAACTCTTGTACTGGCAATGTTTTGGTGTGTATATTTTCACTACCAAAAAGAAATAAATTAAAAAAAAATTACAAACCTGTATAAAAAAATACAGACCCTATTTCCAAAAAGGGTCACATTAACAGGTACTGGGGGTTAGGAATTCAACCTATCTTTTTGGAGGACACAATTCAATTCATAACACCGTGTAAAGGACTTACCTACCCCTACATGTGGCAAAGAGCAAGTGTTCAATAAATGTTGGTTTTCCTCTCCCTTGCCCTTGCCTATTCTGGGTTGGAAAGCGAAACCCTGAAGTTAAAAGGAGGGCGTGACTGAGTGGCATATATCACTGGGGCAGTATCACAAGCACTGCATTTTCAGGGGCCATAAGCAGTTAACTTAGGATGCAGCCTCCCAAAAATCAATGCCTACAAGCTGCGGCTAACTCTGAATCAGGACACTCCTGTATTTATTAAAAATTAGCAAACCAAAGTCAAGAGACTCTCATGCTCTTTCGACGTGAGGCCGTGACATGATTTTGTTGTGGTTGTTAGGCGCTGTCAAGTTGATTTTGACCCATAGTGACCCCATGTGACAGAGGAGAACTGCCCCACAGGGTTTTCTAGGCTGTAATCTTTATGGGAAGGAGCCCCGGTGGCACAATGGTTAAGCGCTCAGTTGCTAACTGAAAAGTTGGCAATTCAAACCCACCAGCGATCTACTTCCGCAAAGATTACAGCCTAGGAAACCCTATGGGGCTGTTCTACTCTGTCTTATAGGGTCGCTATGGGTCAGAATTGACTTGATGGCACACCACCACCACCACAACAGTCTTTATGGGAGCAGATCATCAGGTCTTTCTCCTGCAGAGCCACAGCGTGGTTCAAACTGCCAACCTTTCAGTTAGCAGCCAAGTGCTTAACTATTGCGCCACCAGGGATCCTTCAATGTGATGACAGGCTTTAAAAATGTACTCAACTGTGCACACCAATGGACAGCTTTATAGGTCCTCAGCATTGTCTGCATACATTCAAAATAAGGGCTCCTGCCACACAGAGTTCTGCTCGGAGGAAGTTTTGCCTATTCTAAGGGTATTAAAGCAAGAGTCTATTTTTGATTCAAATACCATGATACTAGGGGAGCCTGGAAAGCCAGGGACTGAAAACGTCCCATTACAAAGTTGAAGGACTCCATGGCAAATTCTTAAGTAGCAAGTAGAAAAGTTAGTCCTTCTCAATTCTCCAGTTGTAAATATTACTTTACTTGATCTTAATCCAATGAATTGAAAATAAAATGATGATTAGAGAAGGAACAGGGCAATAAAAGGAGAAAACTTAGGCTCCAGTCTCTTTTGTTCTTCATTTATTCAAAACAGCAAAATTAACAGCCTGCCTTCAAATATTCTCACTTATCAACAAAGGTTAATATCAAATTTGCCTAAAGCAAGGAGTGTAATCTGATGGCTTTCTGGGGCCTCTTCTCGGTCTAAGAACTCTAACTTAATTACGTTTGCTAGGCTGAGGGCCCATTGCCGTCAAGTTGATTCTGACCCACAGCAACCCTACAGGATAAAGAAGAACTGCCCCAAAGGATGTCCAAGGAGTGGCCAGTGGATTCGAACTACCCATCTTTTGGCTACCAACTGAGCTCTTAACCACTGTGCCACCAGGGCTCCACGAGGCTGAGACCCCTCCAAAATCATGACTTCTGTCTTATCTTCAGGAACCTGGTGGCGAGCCTAGGGCTCCAGTCAACTAGAAGATGCTTGAAGGTGAATGCTAAAAGCTGCCTTCCCTATTTAGCAAGTGTACATTCAGAGTAAATTCCAAATCCTTCAAGTCTGATTAAAGTATCCATTCCAGTATGCCTCTTCAGAAGGAGTCACAATGAAGTCATAATAATCCTACTGGAATTGTTTTCCATGCCAACCAATTAGATACTAATGAAGGTTTATCCTTACAACTGGAGAAAGGAACTAATTCATTATGAAAATGAATAACACATACGTGATTATCAACAGTTCCTAAAATAAGTATTTTCATATGAAAGCTGTGTTTTTATATCCTAAAATTATTTCCAGCATTTGACAGGGAGCCAAAGCAACTCAGTAACTTTGCCATTTATAGCAAAGTTTAGGCTAAGTTGCAGGGCACACAAAGAAGTTTGACATTTTAAGGCCATGGCGCCAATCAGAATGTCAGAGAAAGAAGGGACTTTGTTCAGCTGCTACACCGTGCTCGGTGAAAGTGAAAGGGAGAGTCCATGTGTCTCCACA